GAAATAAAAGACACTACTGACTCTAAGACTAAAGAGTCCTATTTAAGTCCTTATTATCAGTAACGCCGGACTCTGTCACGGAGAGTTTAAGTTGAACTCAACCAGGTTATAAAGTAAGTAGATAAGTAATAAAGCCCAGAGCACCTCAGATCACTTGCAGTGGACAAAGACCAGAACTGCCTCACTTTTTATTTCGTTTTGAGAAATGCAGTACAGTCATGGTCCAAACACCGAGGCTCAATGTTCATGATAGTGTTGCTTGGAACGCTCAGTCCTGGTGTGTTCGTTGGTGCCAGCAAAGTTCCTAGCCCTATCCCCCTACTACTACGCTTTAATATAATTGCCGCACTTAAAATTCAGCCTGGTGCCTGGGGGTTGTAATGGTCTTAAATCCTTAATTTTGGCAAGTGTTGTAGATTAAAGTTTGAGAAGGTAGTTCAAAGGTTTTTGAGAAGATTACTTGTACTAAACAGTTTACAGTAGTGATCCACCCACTTAAAAGCAGTCATGTTTACATCAATTTAATAAAAGGGTCAAACTTTATAAATAAGCATATTTTATAATACAGGGAATGCACTGTAGGAAAGTATGATTATGCAAATAAATAACAATTTGTACAAACTTACCAGAAAAGTCAGAAAAGAACAAATTCAAACCAGGAAGTTTTATTGAAATCGCTCAATAAAGATTGGGGTCTTCCAAAAATAGTACGCCCGTCATATTGTGGTTGACATACTCATTCGACTATTGCATAGCTATATAGTTATTAGAGCGCATGCACATAACATTGTGATAGCTAGATAGGTAAGTATTTAAAAATCAATTCATGTTGAATGATTATCCAAGGTGAATTAAATTAATAAGTAGTTTATCTAAACGCAGAAGTATTAGTGCCATGTGCATAGTAGTGTGGAATTCTTCAATAAGGAAATCTGAATGGTAAGAAAAGAAATCACAAATGATAAAAGTCAATTGGCTGTTAGCAATGTCTTTTTCAATATGGATTTCGGGTTTTGTTTTTGCGGTTCGGGTCGTTAGTACTTGGTTTATTTATTCGATCTTCCACTTGGATGATAATAATGGCAAAATTTACCACATTATTCGTTGGAGACTGAGAAGGCATAATAATCTGATCATGATATACACCCTTGTTACTTTTTCTTTTACAAATAAGGCTACGTTGGAAGGGTGATTTAAGAAAAATCATTTGTATTAAAATTTAATATATTTTTTGTATTTTTCTTTTTAGAATGGGGTATTATAGTAGTGTAAATGGTATGGCTAGGCTGATAAGGTGGTTCGCTGCTTTATTTAGAGAAGGTCAACGTGGAGTTGACAACCACCCAAATGGAGGGAAAATACTAGGGGCACCACCAGTTAGTCCTCGTGAAATAGATGTTCCTGAAGAACTACTCTGTAATCCAGATGAAAGCAGGTTTAAATTTGATCATTATAAACCAACCATTGAAGTCCATTTTACAAAAGCCCGTACTCGAGATAGTCAGGATGGCAGCATACACAGTACAGTACAAAATGACGTTGTACATGTTTCTCAAGCTTCTGGAACCAGTCCGATAAGTGTTAAGGCAACATCAGATGAACTTCTAGAGTATATGAAAGATGGTGTGTATGAAGAAGATTTGGTAGAGGCTTTAAGAACAGTATTGCCTCCTGATACTTTCCATGGTATGATAAAAGAAGATGAAGTAAGAAACCAGACTCAGAATGGCTCATATCTTATCAGATCTAAAACAGTAAACACAGAAATTGATCACTGTAAAGCCATGATAATAAAAGACAAAGACAGGGAACATTTTGATTCCTGTAGAAAACGACCACCAAATCTGATAAACTTCTTCACACATTACAACAGATGTCAACTTCAGAGCAGTATCTATAATACATGTGGGTATCATTGTGCTTCCTATCTGATAGACAGACATAAGGGATTAACAATGGATGAATTCATTGCATCCTACCCTGGAAAGCTACAGGAAAATGATAAAATGGTGACTGAAAGGTTTATCAAACTTCATGACGAAAAAAGAATTCTTGCTTTAAAAAGTAAATAAGACACGATAAAACTGGAAGCTCGTCCTGAAGGTGTAGACATTAGTAAACAACCACTAACGTTTCAAGAGTGTCGTTATACGGATGTTTTTTGGTATTCATCAGTTATATCTCCGGAACATTATAATAATCTTTGTACCATTTTGACATTTATTAAACATGACCCTTTCATTTCTTATCCGACTAAATCATGTGTGAAATTTGTGTAGTCAATCTATTAATAGATTGAAAATGTACAACTATATATTTTCAGTTAATCGCTCTGTAATCAACGCTCACTGCGTATCATATTCCTGACCCATGTCAGTTATAATAGCTTATTGAAATTGATTTGAGGTATAATATGTTATTATTAGGAATGTAATTGAGTATCCTTTTAAAACCTACAACAGTAAACATAAAGCATTCTTTTTTATAAACATGTAAAATTGAATCTTTTTTTTCAACCGCATTGTCGATACAATCTCTCTTAACCATGTTTCGTATGGTGAAATTCATTAAATTGCCAAAACGCAACAGGACTTGATTCAAATGGATCCACAATTTTACGTTTGTCAGCAGATTATATATCTGTATCTCTTGGAAATATTAAAATAGAACCCCGAAAACATGACAGAAACTAAAAAACATGTTAAAAAATGGCGGCATTTCTCACTAACATTTTGCTTCACAGTTTGCCTTATAAAACTCTTTACTACATCTTATATTGCTAGATTTAACAGAATGAATTGCCGGTTTTGAATACAGTAAGGCGTACATTTGGTAAATCATGTTAGTCCAGTACAAATTTATACTTTCAGTGAAAATACTTTTTTTTATTATCTGTATCTCTTACATATATTTTCAATTTATGTATATCCAAAAATGTATTTTCTGATTGTTTGAACTTACAGAAATTATTCAGGTTCATAAAAAAAAGATAAACGAAATCTATCCAATAATAGATCTGAAACTTTCGAAAAGCATATCAGGAACAGATTTTTCAATAAATCAATTCTTTTATATAATCAACTTTACGGATGTATAAAACTTGCAATACAGAACTTCTGTGACTTCAGTAAGGTATCTTATTGAACACAAATTACTTGTAGAAAAATTATTTTGGTATCTATTTCAGTAATATTGATGTGATGTCATGTTATATATTTCTCAATTTGATTTTTTTTGGTGCATACGAGCCATTATATAGCAAGCGTATACATGTGTAATGTAATTTGAATCATATTTTACATGCTGTTATGTTTCTAATATGTAAATAAATCTATACGCAAAAAAAAAAAAAAAGACATAAAAATAACGTTTAGAAAATGTGTACATGTGTATAAAATGTAATTTGAATCATATTTTACATGCTGTTATGTTTCTAATATGTAAATAATTCTATACTATTTAAAAAAAAGCAAGAAAAAAAAGACATAAAAATAACGTTTAGAAAATGTAACTGATACTGTTTTGTTAGGCCTCACCGTTTACAATGGGATTATAAAACTCTCAATAATCATTAGCTGAAAAATAAATCAAAACCACTTATTTCTTTAAAACTTACATTATATTTTACCATTTTTGACAATTGTTGTTCAGTTTATGGTAATAACCAATAAAAGTAGACTAGAGGAACTATATAAATTACAGAAACGTGCAGCGGATACATCGTCAGCTCCATTATTTCAAATTGTCATTGGCTAACCCTTTATTAACGCATTAAATCCAATCAAGGCACATTCACCTTAAATTGAATGCCTCTGAGATCAAAAATACTCCGAACTTTAGACCGAAATGTAATAAAACTGATTTCAATATACAGTTTCTTTACTTTAGAATTCATTACCACAAACTGTAAAACATTCAACTTCAATATTCATGTTTAAAGGAACAGATTCGCCATTTTTGCTTTGGATCTTGAATATATGTAAATAGTGTTTAGAAGTACTAGAAATGTACGAAAATCGCATTATTCTTTCAAAAATACCTCAAACTAGGAATTTTATTTTTTATATATGGCAGAGTCTCAGTAAAAGACTGGTCGTCATTTCAACTTTCAAACGCGCATAATTCTAGCTAGACACACATGGATTTAAAGGCTCAAATTTCGACGGTGATCTGTGAACACTAATTCTGATAAGCTTAGCCAAAAAAAAAAATACTGTACAATATTGGTCAAACGGATGGCGAACCTGTCCTTTTAAAAACAAAGTTACAAAGCTGAATTTCAACGTCTTATTTAAATATATAGAATTTATTTTATATTCTTCTTATGGTTTATAATTATCCTACAATACTATACCTTATATATTCACTGTATGTATATTGTTTAACTTTCTTTGTACATTGTAATTCAATATCGCACTATATATTTGTTATGTAGCCACAGGGACTAATTTAAAATTAGCCTTTTCTTTGTATTTTGCAGCCTACTTTGCTTAATAAATTGCCTTATAAAAATCAAATTATTATTATTAATAGATCAAGATATTCACTTTTCAGAAGTGTCTCTATCTGATCTTAGCAGATCTTGAGGTGAATCGGGTTAAAGGAAGACTACCTCTTAGAATGGACCTACAAGTTAAAGTCTCAAACTTGGTCAATAAGAGTATAAGAATACCAAAGTTACTGACAACGCTAGTCAGGTAAATATGATTGTTTGCAAGGATATTCAAAGATAGAATGATATCATAACATAGCAAAAATGCATAGCAAACTGATGTAGATGAGAATGTTCACAATTAGAAATCACGTTTAGCGGTAGGAGGTTACAGGGGAATTAAGGTTTTTCGCGAAATATAGTGAATACTCACGAAGTAGAAGGATGGTGGTTACAGTCGGAGATTGATATCATGTGCACCACCTCTCACACTAGCAACCCTCACGCCCATTCACGAAATTGCTTAGTTTTGCATCTTTTGGCTTTCTCAAAACCCATCGAATATGGCGTGCTTTTGATTTCAATAACAAAAAGAAATGTGAATAAGTTATCTATACAGCTAAAATTCTAAAAAATTCGAAGGAACTTCTTCAATATTAACAAGATAATCTCTTTCATAAAATTCATTCTATTAAAACTGATTTTTCTACTTTATATACAACTATTCTTCATTCACAATTAAAATCTAGATTACAGAATAGGCTACATTATACCAGTCCTTTATATCTAAAACCAGAAACAGACGACATAAAGACATTTTTGTAAATTATTACTTAACTTATTTTGTCAAAAATCACTCTGAAGCTATTAAAGGGATACTACGTCTTAGAATGAACATAAAATTTAAAAATTTAAAACTTGGTCCATAAGAGCATATTATATTCATCAGTAGATATACCTGGTGTCATAAATAACATAACAGGATCCTTATATAATCCGATAAATCAAAAAAACTTAATAAAAATGCAATTAACTATTAACTCATATTGACCTTTCTTGAGAATTAAATTTTATGTTCATTCTAAGACTTATTATCACTTTAACAAATATACAGAAGAGGATGTTGCAATTTTTATCGATAACATATTTGTCGAATTTTGCGGGGAAATATTTCATCAAGTAATTGGTATTTTTATGGCCACTTTACTCCTTTACTTGCAGACATATTTCTCTATTTTTATGAGGGGGAATTTATTCAAGACCCCCAACACATGTGCAATAAACAACTAGCCCGTTCTTTCAATTCCACTTTCCGATATATAGATGACGTTTTGTCACTTAATAACTCCGCTTTGTTGAAAAAATCTACCCAAGAGAGGTGGAAATAAAAGACACTACTGACTCTAAGACTAAAGAGTCCTATTTAAGTCCTTATTATCAGTAACGCCGGACTCTGTCACGGAGAGTTTAAGTTGAACTCAACCAGGTTATAAAGTAAGTAGATAAGTAATAAAGCCCAGAGCACCTCAGATCACTTGCAGTGGACAAAGACCAGAACTGCCTCACTTTTTATTTCGTTTTGAGAAATGCAGTACAGTCATGGTCCAAACACCGAGGCTCAATGTTCATGATAGTGTTGCTTGGAACGCTCAGTCCTGGTGTGTTCGTTGGTGCCAGCACAATGTTATGGCGGTCAACACTATCCCAAATTTCGTACAAACATTTCATTTCAAGACATACTAGAAAGGTCATTACCACCTCCATGGCGTTACAATACAATATTGTATATTATTACTGTGAGCGAGTCAGCTTTGGTGGCCTCCTGACTCCACACAGAAACAGACGAGATTGGAATGAACCACAACTTTATTCAATATAGCATCCAAATATCACAGAAATATCCTTACATCACAGAGTTCAACAATAACCTCGTAAAAAAGAAAGAACAGTGAAAGCACCTTTCTCTTTTGTCCTCACGTCCTAACCCTATCACTATAAAACCACTATTCCCTATCACTAATACAGACAGATCTGACTATATTTGACCTATTCCCGAGTTGCCATCTCCCGACAGGACATCAGGCCAAGAGAACAACACCACAGCAGTGCTGCAATCATGTTGACTTTCTAGTGCCCTAGTAGTAGGGGGCTAGGGCTAGGAACTTTGGTTGCTAGGCAACGGATGACGTCATAATGGTTGCTAGGGATGACGTCACATCCGGTTTAAGGATGCGCATGCGTGACTTCCGTTGCTAGGGAGATGACGTCATTGGGGAAAACCCCTACGGGAATCCCGATGACGTCATGGGAAATCCCAAGGGGGAAATCCCAAGGGGGAAATCCCAAGGGGAAATCCAAAGGGGAAATCCCAAGGGTAAAACCTCAAGGGGAAATCCCAAAGGGAAATCTCAAGGGGTAAAACCCAAGGAAAAGGGAACTCTTTTATTTTGATTAGGTAGCCCTGAAAAGGGCTGTTTTTTTATTGGACTTGGGCGATCAGACTTGGTCTAATCAAAGTAGGACCGACGACAAGTACAGATTTCTTTCGGTTTTTCCTTCCTCTAGCAATTTGATTATCCAAGCCCTATAAAAAGGAGAGGCTTTTGCAGCCAAAGTCAGAATCATCATGGAATTCGACACGGCACTCAGACACCCGTTCACAATGTTAGTTTCCGGTCCCACAGGTGTTGGGAAAACGGTCTTTGTTCAAAAATTGTTGGAGGCCAACATGTTTGACCCAGTACCCGAACGAATCGTGTGGGCCTATGGCGAATGGCAACAGTCTTACGAAACGTTTTCTTACACTTACGTCCATGGCTTAGGAAATATCGATGATGTCATGGCTCAAGTGTCAGGGCCTCAAATTTTGGTAGTCGATGATTTGATGGGCGAAGATACGGCTGCCCT